TTTGTATTATTATTATTATTATTATTATTATTATTATTATTATTATTATTATTATTACAGGGTTTGTTTTACAGCTTGACCTTTTAATTGATAATTAATTAATGTGTATTTATTTTTTAATTGTTTGTGGGTTTTGTTTTAATTGTGAGCCACCCAGAGTCACCCATTGGGGGAGATGGGCAGCATACAACTTTAATAAATAAATAAATAAATATTATTATTCTATTTTATCATTAATATTAGTACAGCTCCTAGAATCCAACTGGACTGAGAGGATAGATAAATCCCATAAATAAATAAGTAAATAAAGTTTTTATTTAAATCATTTTTAATGGATACAGTAATTAATTTAGGGGTAAATCAGCTATTTAACTTTTTATGGCATTTTATTTACAGTACATCCTGTCCTTTTGTGACCCCAGAGAAAAATAAATTACAATAGTTTAATAGGGACACATGAATTCCCAGCCCAGTCACTCCTACACAGAAACTCTGGCACAACTATGTGCTGATGGGCTATGTAAAAATTACCTATGACCTTGGCCCCTAAAAAATAGTTCCCAGTCATGGCTTTGAACAACTTTCCACAACCTGATGCCTTCCCAAAGTATGGTACTTCTGTATGTTGCTAGAATTCAAGTTTTTATGCTCTAGCTTTCTGCGCCTATAAACCTATTGACTGTTAGGGACAATAAATACAGAATGAGCAGAAGGTCTCTACACTTTGATCATCTTTCCTTGTCTAAAAAGTCTTACTTTGGATGTCTCTGTGTAACATTCCTCCGATTGGTAAATCACATTCTCAGTGATTTCCTCACTTCCTTCCTGAAATCTAGGTATTATTGATAATTAGACCTGAACTAGGACAACCATCATATAAAATGTTTATGTGAAACAAATCAAAAGCCTTGTCCTAAGTGGAGAAGATGTTGACCACACATCTGCTTGGTTGGGTAATACAGTCATATCGTTCCTAGCAATCAATGTATTTCATTGCAAATAAAGCATTACATGTCTTTTGGAAACATGTCCACAAAACAGGGTGACAACCCACAGATATACAGAAGTTACAGCATATATTATGAAGCAGACAGATGAGAATCCCCAAGTCCCAGGTAATGTCAAACTCTGAGGATTTATTAAAAGCTCTTGGCTTGAAGACAGTTTTAGTTTTGCAATTGGATATAGAGTAGAGAGAGAATACAATCGCCTGCTATGATAGCAAGGCTCAGAAAACAGTTATAAGGGCAAAAAGGCCATAGAATAAACCACAAGGATAAGCAGCCAAAACCTGCTGCCCTTCCATGGCCAAAGTGGAAGTGAAGATTTTGGAGGCTGAGAAGCTGCACCATCCAGTAATGATCAGAGCTAACAGAGTGCCAGGGATCCCTCTGAAAGAGCATGAACAGTACAGGTCATTGACTAATAAAAACAGAAGGACATTCTCTCAAGGCTTTTGCTAATGAGCATCGGGGGTTAGCAGCAAAGACAATACAACATCAGACCAAGGAGAGAAAGAGGGGTGAAGTGCATGGGGATGGAAAGGTGTAAAAGATGAAGCAACAAGGAGTAGGTCAGTGGCTGAGGCCAGAAAGGGCTGCTTTTCCATCATGGTGCCTACATCATCCAGTTGGCTACCTTGCTGATGGCCTTCTGGAGGCTTTTGAAGTTTGAGCTTTTTTAGATAGTGTTGAGGGGAATGGTTCTGATTGTTGCTACCTGAGTGTCCATTTTTAATGATTTGGTTATTGTTGTCAGTGTTATGACTAAGTATGGTGTCATTCATATTGTATTACACTTTATTGTTATTGTATTTTAATATGTTGCCACGAGTCTTGAAATTTGGTGGTATACAAACATGATACATAAGAGTCAAATAAATAGTGCTTTTACATTCTCAGGGCACACCCACAGGACTCTTTTGCACTAATGCCAAAGTAATGTTACATTCACGTTCCCATGACATCGTTGCTTATAAACAACTGGGCTAACTAACTTCCAGCTCATTTGCAGGACAGCAGCAATCACTGTTTGCAGCAGTCACATGAGGCTGGAGGCAGACAGTTTGCCATCGGTGGGAACTCCTGGAACTTGTAAAATTGTGCAAAATGGTGGCTTTATAGCTGCCCCTCATGATAATTCTCTGTAGCCTTTCAAATTACTCTAGAAAAAAATGCTGTATGAGCTAAGAGGGAGGAGGAGGAGAAGGTGGCATTCACATTTTATGTGATCCCCTATTAGCTAGCTGGCTGGCGGAAGGACTGATTGACCTTTCCAGAGATTGTCCTGATTTGTGAAATGCCACCAAAAGGAAAATTGTTGGTCAATGAGATTTGGTATCTGAATTTTTTCAGAGCAAAACTGTAGCTGTATGAAAGTGCCACTAGGGAACCATTGTATCAGAAGTCTATGCACTCATAAAACAAGAGCCTTCTTTAAAAAAAAAAAAATCCAGATGTGTCTACTTCCAGCATAATCTGTCAGGAATGTTTATGGTGGAGAAGAGTTGTTATGTGGAAAATGTCAGGAAAAAAGAAGGAAGAATGGAGGGGAAAAGATCCTGCACAGCTTAGTTCCTACATCCATTTGACCACTCCATGGATGTTATGAAGTGAACTACAGTTCACAAAAATGAATGCCTTTTAATTAAAGTTGTTAGCCTGAAAAGGTGCTACCAGACTCTGATTTTTGGTTACCAATTTACAGTAAGTTTCCAGCAAAAGATAGGCTTGAAGGATCCATATGGTAGAATGATAAGTTCCCCTTTGGGCATCAGGAATTGCTCCCAACTGGGTCTTGGCTTCAACTGGAACAATCAACTTAGGGAGTGGGAATATTTAAGGAATAAGCATACAATGGAACATTTTACAGCATTTGGTTACATGGCTGTACTTGCTATCTGTGTAGGCTAAACAGAAACTCCTTTACCAAGATAATATATTGTGTGCTGGGGAAAGGCAATGGGAACAACTGGAATCAAAATGCTCTTACTCTTATTATTATTTTAATGTCTGGATGCTGAGCCAAATATAGTCGTTCTAGCAAAGCAAGACTTCAAACTCATACCTATTTCATTTGCTTCAGCAAAGCGTGCGTGAATACCCCTTCTTTCCATTCACAACATTTCAGAGGATACTTACTGTAGAGAGAAAAATACTGCACAGGTGGATAAGATCACCATGGGTAACAGGCTGTAGCCTAGCACACTTGCTACACATCCATGGGAAACACCTACGATGCTCATCAGATTCAACAAAGCATGGATTGCTATGCAGCCAATAACACTGGTGCCATAAACGTAGCCAAAATGGACTTTTCCTGCCTGCAGAAATGAGCAAAGAGAAGAGCGTGTCACTGTCCCAATGCCAGTTGGGCTAGAGAAGAAAGGCTGTCATATTCTTCAATATAAGGAAAAATATCGGTCTGAGGAACTACAATGTTTTAAAACTCACAGCTCATTAAACTTTGTAAGTCAAATGTTATCTATGCTATCAAGAGAATGTATACTAAATATATATGTATAGAAATGTTGCTACACTTTATTCTGAGGAAGAAAGTAGGATGTTGATTAGTTAGCAAGATTGAAAAATAAAGGAGGATATAGAGAAACATACAAGAAAACTTTAAGTTGTCATAAGATCTTCTTTATGCATGATAACTCACTCAGAAGAGAATATAAGCTCTTCTTAAGCTGTTCTCCCAATCCTCCTCCTCCTCCTCTTCATCTATGCAAAATATTATTTGATAAGGTACAAAAGGTAGTCATCAACAGTCAAGCAATCCCTTCCCTTCCCTTCCCTTCCCTTCCCTCATTTCATTTTCTTTTTCCTTTACTCCTATTACAT